TGGAGGGTCAGGCAGGAGCCTCGGTGTCCGGGGGAAACCATGGAGGGCTTTTCCAAGAGAAGCCGAACAGGCCAGGATGTTGAGGGATCTAAGGGCCCTGGTGACGTGTGGGGCTGGGTGGACACTGCAGCAGCTGGTGGGGGTGTCCTCCATGCTCCAGGCAGATGGTCTTATTTYACCTGAGACCGTGTGAATCTAAAATGGCACCACCAACGGGCATGGTGGCGCCRGCCTACACTCCCAGCTCCTAGAGGCTGAGGTGGGAGCAGCGCAAGTTCAAGGCCAGCTTGGGCAACTTCAAGACCTGGTCTCAAAACAACCCCAAAGCTGTTTTAAAGGGCTCAGGATGTAGCTCAGCAGTAGAGCATTCCTGGGTTCGAACCCAGTGCTGAAGAAGTAAATAAAGAGCAATCACCATCAGTGCGCACAGCAAGAGGCRCTGCTCCTGTAAGGCAGGACTGTCTTTCTTCAACTGTGTCTTGACAACACCTACTTAGGAATCATCTCAGATCTTTCTGCTGTTTTTACATCAGTGAAGAAGTGAAATTTTCCATGATTCAGAAGCCAGGAACTTAGTGACATCCACATTCAATGGCAGTTTAGAGTGTGAGTTTGTTTCTACCAGTYGGGGCAAAACCAAATCAAAGCTCAACAGCACATGGGACCCAAGGCCCATGTGGCAGGTCAGTCCTGCTCAGAGGGAAGGAGCGGCCTGCGTGTCAGGGAGAAGGGACAAGCCACAGCTGTTTCCAGCCTGGGCGACAGGCAGGACAGGAAACACACACCTGAGGAGCTGTTTTCAAGAACCAGCACCTGACACATGCCAGCCAGGGGTGGGCTGGACAGGGGCTGCTCAGAGCCACCCAGGTCCTCGTGAGGGCGCCCTGGGAACCAGGGCCAGAYGCACAGGGAGCTCTCCCCGACAGGGCACCGTCTGTCCTCACTCAGCTGTGGCTGCAGAGCCCATCCTTACAGGTCCACTTAGGAATCACACCGCACACGACTCTTGAGGCAGGAGTTCCAGCCGTGCCCCCGACGGCCGCTCCCCTGACACGGAAGATGAATAGGTGGCTGTGCTGGCCTGTGACGCCCCGAGCTCTCAGTTCTTTCTCATTATCCCCTCTATTTTTCCATCATGGTCTCCCTACGGCTCATACTTCAGTCCACAGAAAGGGAATCTAAGGATTCCAGAACAGCCCCCCTACCCCGTGACCCAGCCACGGGTCGTAGAGCCAGGAGATGCTCACAGGTCCCTCCCTAGGAAAGCTGGGCAGGCAGGGCTTTTCAAGAACCTGGAGACTGTCAATTGTTTTCAGGTARATCCAAATGTAGACCACAAGGCACCCAGCCACAGAGACCCACACGTTGCCTTTAGCACCTCAGTTTTATTCGCATGCTTAGAGCGGTGCATGCAGAACACCCGGCAGAGATGCAGGGGCCAGTTCAGCCGGTCAGTCCTGGAGCGGGGTGGCCCGCCTGTCCCGGACTGCCTGGGGGCATGTTTTGAGCAAGGGAAGTCCCAGGCCTGGGAAGCCCTTAGTCCTGGGTGACCTGGGGCCCTCTAGACTGGCTCCGAGAGTCATTTAATTAATAACAGCGTCCAGCGAGGAAACGTGGACAAACTGAACTGGGYTTTCTGGGCCTGTCTTAACCCCGGCCTGGAACTCATCCCATCTTGCTGCTTCCATCTCAGGACAGGTTTCCCTCAGGAACCCAACTCACCCCATAAGCTGCTGTTTATTAAGAGATTTGGGTCAAAACTTCAGAGTTACAGTCTTAAGAGTCTGAAGTGCTCCAGATGACAATATATTATCAAAATTCCTACCCACTGAATGACTCTTTCTCTCAGTCACCTCAGTGACCTTTCTGCCATGTGGTATCTCGGAGACAACCTAGGAAATGGGTGCACAGTGTGGATGGCGTCTGAAAGATCACCTTTTGAAACAGCTGGCACACAACTTCCACATTTGAACCAGAAACTCATCTGCACCTCCCAGTTTCTTACTGAGGGGGAGTCTGGATTCTGCCCCAGACATCTCCTTGAATCCCTCTTCCCACTGAACCAGGAATGCCCCATGAGCTCAGCGGTCACAGACCTGTGGCTCCCAACACCTCAGAACAGAACAGGTCCATTCCAGGCACCTAATAGAGAGTGACCTAGAACTTGCTGCCCTCCAAACCGTCATTGAAAGCACGGTGATGGACATGAAGTCAACGAAGGGTCACGCTGTAGGCTGCCCTCATACTAGACTCAGTACAAATCCACCCCGTGGCTAAGCCGCCCCCTTGGGGAACTATGCATGTGCCTGCCCCAGACGCATGGTTCCCCTGGCACCAGGCCAGTGGCTTTTGCAGACGACAGCAGSGCTGGCACCACAATCATGCACCAAAGGCCGACACATGCCTCCCCCACACCCCAGCAACACTCACGCATGCCTGTGGAGGAGAGAGAGGAAGGAACTGCCAACACCGAGGGAAAAGAAGAGGTCTGGGCACAGGAGAATTTTTGAAGAACTGACTTGGATTATTTAATCAAGAGATTGGGGTGAAAAGTCGCCCTCCTACAGGCGTTTCTGGAACCTGCTGTTGTCACCCCCTGTCTCTTGGCAAGGCGCACGCATGGGCCTTGGCTTCCACATGCACAGGCTACCTGCTTTGCACAGGTCCCTCTGATGAAGCCTGTGCTCAGCAGGAGGCCACTCTCCATCCGATTTCACCTTACGGCCATGGAGTTCCACCAAGAAGAATGTGCCGATTTCACTTCTTGCTGCAACACACGTATAAAGCATGGGGCCYGGGACTAGACTCTGCTCTCGGAAGAATGAAGCCCTCAACAGGGCAGTTCCCTGCAGCCAGGGCAGCACCGGGCGAGGAGCCAGGAGGACAGAGGACAGCCTGCGTCCTCAAGGATGGGAGCAGGGCACACAGTGGACTGTGGAACCGCAAAGTCCTCCATGGGGCAGCCTCGGCAAAGGTATGAGCCCTATCCCYGGGAGGCCTCTGGGAACAGGTGTGCCCAGTCCCTGATTGAGGGGCCACCTGGTGAACCAGCCTACTCCAGATAAACAGGAGCAAACAGAGCATGAAGAAATGTCCTCACTACAATAAGGAATGCGTGTGTCTACAAAGGAATCCATCCATACACCCACCTGATTCCGTCTATCCATGGGATCATCTGTACCTATCGTATACTAATGTATTCCTAGATACCTATGTTTAGATGCTCCTCGACTTAGGTGGGTTATGTCCCAGTAAGCCCACTGTTGAGATGAGATTATGCAGGTGGAAAGTGTATTAATTCYTCCACCTGCCAAGCACCGGGCTTAGCCTGGTCTACCTTAATTGTGCAAAGAACACTCACACCGACCTAGAGTTGAGCAAAATCATCCAACACCAAGCCCATTTCAAAACCAAGTGTTGAGCATCTCAGGCAAGTCACTGAGTAYGCACTGGAGCGAAGGCTGGGAGGGCTAAATGGGCAAACTTCACAGCAGCGTCCACTTGGAGACGCTCACGGAGAGTGTCGCACGCCGCAGCCTGCCTGCACAACCCTCCAAAGTGTACTTCCAGCCAAGCACCTAGGCATGTCCATTACCATGTGAACAAGCCAGGAGGCCTCAAGAAACACCTGCTTTGTTGACATGGTTCTGAAAGGTGTAGTTATAGCTGTAACGCGGGGGAAAGGGCAACTCACACCAGCAGCATATTAAGCAACAAGAATACCATCTGTTAGCAAGCGTGCTGGGAAGACTTAAGGCAAGTGTTCTTGACAGCGCAGGGGAAAAGGCCTCTTGTATTTTGCCAGGAGATAAACTGATACAATGTCTCTGGGAATCTGACAACATACACCAAAAGCCATGACCATACACATACTCTTCYGCTTAGGACGCTGATTACTAGTAATCAATCCTAGGGCAGTGGACAAGGACAGAGGGACACAGGACACTGATCAGAGTTATTATAGTGAAAAAATTCAAAGGAAATTTATTTGCCAAATGCCTGTCTTTGGGGTACTGTTGAGTCACTTAGGGTCCAGCTGTACAGGGACCATTGCATAGTCAGAAAATGGTGGGGTACAAGTGGATTTGTGGACACAAAGAGGTGCACATGACCAGACCAGATGTGGGTGGAAGCTCAGAGCCCACACACGTGCGGAAGCAGGAGCTGTGCCTGTGGAAGCACAGGCCCACGTGTGCGGGAAAGGCCGAGGGTGTACCTCAAAATGCCAGCAATTGTGTTCTCCATGAGTATTTTACTTTAGGGATGATTTTAATTTTCTTTCATTATGTTTATTTCTAACTTTCTGTCAACAACTGTGCAAGTCTTAAAATTATTTCAAATTCTAAAAACTAACAGCTTGACATAGTGATATAATCAAATGACCACTAACACTATAATCTTCACATCTCTCTACCTCAGGCCAAATGCTACGGGATGCATTGTTAACCAAAATGAACACCCCCAAACTTGGATTTTACCAAAGCTTGCTTTGTATTTTCCCTCAAGAACAAGATTAGTTGTTTTTTAATCTAATATAAATTATTTTAGCCTAATAATAATAAATTTTCTTAACACCCAGGGACGTTTCTCCTGTCTTACAAATGGGCATGTGTTATTTGACAACAAACACCGAGCCATGAATTGCATTTAACTTCCTGTTTTTGTTCTTAGACATTCAGAGCTGAATTTTAGGTTCAAATGGGATTGCGTCCTTCATTATGGATTTTCCTATAGGTACCTTCTTTTTCTCTTTCACTACTTGCTCCTGTCTTTCGACATCATTTACAATTTTACTTCATCTCTGTAGGATGAGAGGGCTAGGGAGGGAGGCGAGGGACAGACCTCTGGCCCAGCAGAGTGTGAGGACAGTGCCATTCATCTCATGACTGACCAGGAGCTACCCCTGGAACCTCAGAGGTGAGTGGCTGCCTGCTCTTAGGCCCTGCCCCCCAGGCTCAGCTGAGGCTGCCCCTGCTGGCTGCTCCCAGGGCTGAACTCACATGCAGACTTGGATGATAGGTCAGCACGCCGTTGTCACACAGGGTGACGTATTTCTTCTTCCACTCCTTGTTCAGTGACTTGCCACTTCGCTTTAAGAGCATGCCCTGGAAGGAAAAAGGAGCCAAACAGTCAGCCTCACGGGAATGGAATGAGAAGTCAGTGCAGAAGTAATTTTAAACATTCTTTGTGTCTTTGCCAACTTACAAAGGAAATTATGCTCAATTTTGGATTGAATTTGCTTTTTTCCTTTTTATGTACAAAACATATAGCACACTTTCAAATTTCTTTGTGTGTCTGTGTAAAGAACTTGGCTTTGTGGGATTGGTAAATGCTAAAGACCCACCCTCAGCTCAACAAATAATACAAAACATCCTGACACGGCTACACTGCTCAAATAACAAGTCATAAAAGCACAGGAAACACCTAAAGGAACAGTGTTTTGAAGACAGAAACCTAAACTTCCTTTTTGAAAAATAACCAATGAACTGTATACTTACCTTATATCTGTAAATAGGGACATTTCATTTCATAGTTCCTTTCATTTCAGAATTTTAGCTTATTAAAACTGAAGTTCTACTTGCCAACTTTAGTGATAACACTTTATGGATGAACTGTGTGTAATTTTTAAATCCATCTTTAACGAAATCATATTAGGGCTTCCGGAAAACCATTCGGAATTTGAAATCGACCCATCTTTAAAGCCACATTTAACCCAGTCTTTCATGAATGACTGACTCAAACACATTCCTGTTGTAACTAGGAACCCCACCTCCCCCGAGTTCACAGGCTTTCCTGGATTAGGGGAGCAGGGGCCAACGCTGAGCAGGGTCAGCTCCCACACTGGAACTCGGGCTCTCCCCTCCCAGCCAGGGCTTCCTGCCTGCCCAGCTCTGTCCACTGCAACTCCAGCGTTCACATCCTGACTCTGTCTGTCCCTTTTAGAAGATGATGATCTTCTCACTCCTGCCCCTGCACACTGAGGATGACGGAAGGTTCTCCGTGCTCTTCCTCTTGCTGTTTATAAACCACACGATCACCATGACTGGAAAGCACAAGGCCRATGCCAGGTGACTCACCCAGAAGGAGCAGGAAGGAAGGCTACAGGTTCTGAGACGCACTCAGACACCTCGGGGCAGCAGGGGCACTGAGGGCCTCCTCTGGAAGTTTTATTGGCCTCTCTTAAGAATGGCCACGCCAGACAAAATTAGACAAGCCTGCCTTTATGATATAATTAAGCTCAAGTTTCAATTAATTACCAGCATTATGGCAATACTGTGTTTTATTTACTCAAATCATAACATAACCAAGTTCCATAAGTACAAAGGATTAAAAGCCAGCTTGGGGTTCTCATCACTATTAAACACTGTTGCCAGAGGGAAACATTTCAAAACTTGAAACAACTTATCAAGGAATCTTTGGAAAATTATTTCCTTGTAAGTTCTTATTATTTAGAGAAAATATGCAGCAAAATATGGTGTCCCTTGGYTTCTGGGAGCATAAACCAATCCAAACCAAGCTTGGTACCGACCCACCCGATGAACCAGTCCAGAGGAAAATGTTACGAGCTACAAACCAAAGCAATAAAAGCTTCATTGCATGGTACCAATTAGTGGGAGAGGGACAGTGACTGCCAGCCAAGCAGTCATACATAAGCGATGGCTTCAAACCACTGCACGTCCCTCCCCGGGGATCCTACCAGCTCTGCACTTAGCATAACGAAACCTCTCCCAAGTTCTCCTGTGGGCTCATATTTTTCCATCATCCGTTTCAGATGGAATTCCAACAATACCAGGGGCTGGGGGTCACTGTGGTGTCACTGGAAGATTAGAGCTGCTCCGGKCTTCAGAAGGCTTTGTCCCTTCCCACTGACAAACGCAGCCATGGCGCACACCCCTGGGGCTGATGGACTCACACAACTCGCTCGGCTGGCTTGGGGCAAATCCTGTACTCGTAATTATCCTTCCACCAATGAAGGCCACAAGACTTATTTATTAAGGAAGAAAGGGAAAGAGCCCAATTAGGAGGCATGGAGGGGTGATGTCATAGCTTCCTGGAGAACAGAATGAGGCTGATTTGCTCCCCTGGCAGAAAACACTGTCTGAGTGAAGGAAAAGCCAACCTTGAGGCCTTGCTGGACTCTACAGTTCATATGGAGGAGACGGCCGGCTCCTGTGAGCTACGGGGATGCTGCAGCAGTCTGTGGGCCTCTAGAAAGGCTCGGAAGCCGTATTTCTGCCCTCCAGTCTTGGGCCCCTGTGGCTTTATTCCAATGACCCCCACCAAAGACTGCCGAAGAGACCGAGTCCCTGGGCTGCCCTGCTCTCCGCCTCCAGCCATGGCTGAGCAGGGCTGAGGCAGGTGGCCTGAGCACCCCTGGCATCCCTGTCTTGTCCTCCATAAGCAACAGGTCAGGATGGCAACACCGTGCAACTTGCGGCTTCTGAGCCAAAGGAGGCAGAGAAGCCTGTCACCACGGGGAGGTGGCAGGCAGTCCTGGGCACCACCCTCTGCATTCCTGCCTCTCCACTGGCTGGCCAGATCCTGCCATTCCTGCTTACAGGCAGTGACTGGAACCCGTGTGTACTCCCCTGCTCCTCCTGCGAGGCCCACGCACAGGGGCTGGTGCTTGGGATCCCCATGCAGGCACCAAGGCCACTGGCCCTTCCTGAGAGGGAAATGAGACTCCAGCCTGCAGGGGTTCAGCTCCCAACAGACTCCCAGGGACCCCCCCTCAGGTAGACCTGGGGAGCCCACCTCTCTCAGGGTTCCCTCCTCCTGAGTGTCACGTAAGCCTGAGTGAGAGAGCAGAAGTGTCACTCCAAGGTGAAAAAGGGCAGAAATACCCGCTGGGGCTGGGGTGGGGTGTACACGCCTGCAGGTCCAGGGACTGGGGAGGCTGAGGCCTGCAGGGCAACCCTTAGCAATTACCAAGACTCTGTCTCAAAATTAAAAATAAGAAGGGCTGCGGCTGCCCCTGGGTTCCGTCCCCAGCACCAACTAAATACAGACGTACGTACAGTATGTGGTCTGCGGCTCTGGAGGTGGGGGCTTCTGCATGCTAAGAGCGGCCCAGGGAGCCCCACGGGAAGTGTCCTGGGGGTCTCAGAGAACATGATGAGCACTGCTAGAGGCAAATCTCAACCCTACCAGAAAGTTCCAGGAATGGGGTGGCCAGGGCTGCTGACCCTGGAGAAGGCCAGGGCTGCTGGGCAGGGGAGTGGTGCACCAACAASCTCCCCACGGCAGGAGTGACGGGACCTATGCACGACGGCTCTGGGGTTAAAACCCTGGCYACAGATCCCACAAGCTTTGGTCCCTGACACAGGTCGGTCCAAAGGAGTCTGCAGACTGGCTGTACATGGGCCCACGTGGGACCTCTGGCCCAGAGTCGCGGGTGTCAGTGGGGGCACCCCTGCCCCTCAGTGCGTCTTAGCGTTCGGAGCAGCGGCAGCGCCTGGACCCCTGGGAGGATTCCCTGCTGGGCGCGCCACCGGTGCCAGGTGGCAGTGGCAGAGGCCAGGCTCCTCGGTTTCCAAGTCACAGTCTTCCTTCCCCTCAGACCAGCTAGCCTCCTCCCGTACACCTCCTGCCTGGCCCCGGAGGGGAGGTGGGGTTAGAGCAGGAGCTGGTGGAGGTCACCTGACAGGCATCAAGACCCCTCTGCCAGCTACCAGGAGAGCAGATTCTCWGGTGGCCTGGGGGAACCCAGTGTCAAAGTTCCCACCCAGAGTGGCCACTTGGACGGGCAGCACTGGCCTCCCCTGAAGCGCACTAGATGTCTGTCTGCGGCCCAGAGCAGCAGGGCCACCCTGAGTTCAACAAGGCCCCAGGTGACCTGAGTGTCTGTTCATCTGCGCAGCTCTGGGCCCAGGCCTTCTCAGGAGCACYGAGCTTCTCCAGGGGGATTCACCCTGCAGAGAGCTCTTCTTAATCTTCTTAATGGCTGTCCAAAAAGTGAGCAGCTACTGGACTCCACTGCCCAAGCGGGCGTTGGTGACTTCAGAGGTCTCACGTGGTGCCAAGGGGGAAGTGCAGGGGGAGACTGGTACATGAGCAATCCACTCTGTGACCCGGTGGGACCCACCCTGGCACCTCAGGCTGCACAGAAGAAAATGACTTCACTCAAGAACGCAGGACGTGGGTGGCCACAGGACGGGGGTCACCGCAGGACGTGGGTGGCTGCACGGCCAGGGCGGCCTTTACAGCACCGCAGTGATTTTGCTTCATTATCCGTCATGATAAAATATTGCTGTTAATTTAAAATTATTCTTTAAAAAAGCCATTAGTTGCAATTATTCTTAATTATTTTGGGTCCTATGATTATTTAGTTTTATGAGTGCAGATAATGTCTGGCCTTATCGGGAAAACAGCTAGGCCAGCGCTGGGGGGATCCAGGCGGCCATTTTGTAAAGGGTTCCAAGTGGCCCACAAGTCCCTGGGAGAGGCTGGGCTAGAACAGGAATGAACTGGAGTCACCTGCCCAGGGGCAGGAGAGGGTGGGGAACGTGGGACGAGGAGGCAGCTGGGAGAGGCAGCTGGCAGGAGGATGGCAAGGGAGCATGTCCTCCCCGTGACGCGTCCTGTGCCCCAGTTCTCCCCTTTCCTATTGACATTTCCAAGGCTGTTGGGAGATTCCCAGAGCAGACAAGAGCCAGGTAGGTCCCATCCTGCTKGTCCTGGGGGTAGGAGCACGTGGTGGTGTGAGGTAGGCCGAGCCGCCTGCTGTGTGGAGGCCCCACCCCAGAGCTCTCAGACCTTGCTGGGCACACCCAAGTGCCCGCATCAGAGGTACCCAGAGTGAGGAAAGGCCGCTGCAGCCGCCTCAGGAAGGGGGAGTGGGGCGGAGCCTGACAGCTGTGGATGCCCTTGGGTAAGCCACCTTGTTCCCAYACCACCAGGTGACCTGGAAGCTCAGGTCAAGACTGCGGCTCTTGGTGACATCAGCAGCCTGATACCGCKGGCAGCGGGGCCAGGACAAAAGCACATGGAGGGCGGAAGGGACCCCATATTGCTACAGGCAACAGGGGACCACAGGCCTGCTCTTCCCCAAAGGACCCCGACCCCAGGAGAGCCCGGGCACCTGGGAATTAAGCGCCCACAGAGC